TCGGGTCTTACCGTAGAAGCATGCCAACGACAGACCACCCAGAAAATTACCAAATTGCGTCAGTTAGGATATACGGTGGTAGAAATGTGGTAGTGTCAATGGGAGAAGATGAAAAGCAACGTCAAGATATTAAGGACTTTGTCCAGTCTCTCTCCTTGACCACACCCATGAATCCGCAGAATGCTTTCTTTGGCGGAAGGACTGGGGCGACGACTCTCTACCATCGCGTGGACCCCACCCAGAGAGAGCAGATTCGATACGTAGATGTGACTTCCGAGTACCCATGGGTCAATAAATACGGCGAATACCCCGTCGGACATCCCACCATCTACTTAGAACCAGAAAATCAAGATACCAACGCGTACTATGGGTTGATGAAAATGGATATTCTAATTTAAAAAAAAGGCACTCGGCCTGCGGTCTCGTGCTTTCATCTGTTTCTCGGTGTTTCGAACCCCTGATGAAACGCTCGCACTCGTTTTTGAAATATTACCTCTAAAATGCAATGTCAATTTGCTGCGGGTTTTCCAGGCAACACAGCAAGATTGTTATTCGTCGACTCGCTCAATTGCGTTTCGATGACGTCGAAATGATTATTTCGTAAGGGAATGTAATGGATGTGTCTCGGCTCGAAATAATGATTCCCTTGGATTCTTTCTTCGTAAGGTATCTGGCGTAACAGGTCGGTGGTTTGATCACCCATGATCGCGGGGGCACACAACGAGGAATACACGTAAATTTTGCGTGCATTGGGCGAAGCGGTTGGTGCATGGTGCGCGATGTATTTAAACGGTCAGTTGATATCACTCAGTAAAAACTTTTGTACGACGCTTTTACTATGATCTTTCTAGGGAATGCCGTACCAATAATAGGTGAGATTAANATCGATTGATCAAATATGAGTTTTCTGTGGATTCTTAATTTAATGTCCATGGTCGTAATTCGACCCCTAAATTTACCGTTAAATTTGACCTAAAACTCGGTGGAAAGGATCGGACAGGAGATAATTTGACAGATTAGACCTGTTTTGGTTGCAATTTGACTTTATATTTCGACGGATTCGATGTTAGGGGGTCTTAGTTTTCATTATCTCGAAAACTAAGACGGGTCTTAGGTCTTCGTTTTCGAGGGTCTTAGTTTTCGTAACACCCCCCTTACAATTGCAACCGAATCATGGAGCAACCGCGAAAAGCCACACGAGTGAGTAAGAGCAGTCGCAAACTAAACCTAACCATAAACACGGAAAGAACGACGAGCTTCGACCTTCTTCGTTATATTACTTTGCTTGTAACTTTATTTCCACTGGGGAAATGCTATTCGTAGCAAAAAGAATAAGCGAAAGGCGGAATTTTACGAAAACTTCGCAAATGATACAATGAACCGGCGGAGACTCTCAAAGGAAACATTGTCTTTCGTAGCTTAAAGGCTGCTCCACGCACTTTTTTATGACATATTTATCTCCGTACTAAAAAAAGATTCTGGAATTTAACGGACTTTAGAGCGATGTTACAATTTGCAAATACGTTTTTGGCTTTATTTCTTCAACAACGTTTTATTGCTCCGAAAAGTGTCTCATAGAAATCATAACTACTTTGCCTTCCGGGTCAACATCTTTTTTGAGTTTGTCCTCTTGTTCTTCGGTTTTCCTAATGTTATTTGGTCAATCCCAGTTAGTAGCTTACGCTTGTACTTACACGAAAGCCACGGTAAGCCTTAAAATGGCGCATTTAAGTCCGGATTTTGTTATGACGCTGGAGAAGAAACTGTAAGAGTCTTCATCGCTTCCAAAGTTATTTGAAGCATTAGTTTCGAAGCACAACAGATTTCAGTCATGTAATCAATACTTCCTCCGGACACTTTTAAATCGTATGTAAAGGTTTAGATGATAAATTGTTATTATGTATATGTTCACACATCGAAAGTTTCTTTTATTTCTCAAAATTCTTATAAGTAATTAATCACCGAGCTACTTTCCTACGCGATAATTATTCTTCGCTTTATTTAAACTGAATGCAACGCAACACGAGGCCAACAAGGACTTGTCAATACTTGTCAATACTTGTCAATTAGACTGAGACGAAAATATGGTCACATGACTATTCAATGCTATTTTGGTTTTATTTTCCAAACAAACAAAGAAAAAGCGTCGCTGAGAACCTGTTTCCATAACAAGTCTCGATATATTTTGAACGGTTTAAGTGGCTTGGTGATGTCCGTTCGCTGTCAATCATATCTACCGTTCAATGATCATGTGATTATTCAATGACGTAGGCAGTGTCAAACCGCCTTGCGTCTGTTATAAAAGACAGTAATTTTATATGATCTTTAAGGATAGGTGGTGAAGTTTCTCTTTCGCTTCTTATGGTTGCTTTGTAACTGCCAGAGTTATGGATTACTCAGGTAAAAGGAAAATTTGAATTGTTTAAGTGGTGTGGTCGCTATGTACGGCCGCATGCTATATTTCCACTTAACATAAACAAAACATTCACAAACCTTGGAAACGATAGTCGCGTTAGACGTAATCTTAAAATCGATATTAATCGTGGGTAACAACAGGAAACACAGATTAAGCTTTTATTTCTGACTAACGCCGTAAACTGTAGTGGTGGTTTTGCTTCACCTTAATGAAACAAAGCTCAACTATGGTTATTGAACTGAACGTAGTCTGTTTTAGGTAATCACCTGATTTTGAGAGCAGTTTGGGATGGCATGTACTAAAATAAGGAACACCGGAACATACCGGAACACCGGAACACCCCGAAACATCACGGAACACCGGAACAGCCGAAACAGCCCTGAACACCGAATTTGACGGTGTTGTTTTGTTTTCCTATTACAGATCATGTAAAAAATAAAATGTAAATGTAATTTGTTTACCCACGTATAACGAAAGAGCTTAGAGCTCGTTATAAAGTGTACGTGTATGACATCGAATTTGAATTTAGAAGTGTTGGTTTTTGTGGAGGGAGGAAAACCGGAGAACCTGGAGAAAAAAAAATTCTTCCTTCAAATGACGGTGGGTCCGGGAAGCGAACGTGGGTCACATTGGTGGGATTCGAGTGCCATTTCACCACTGCAGCTCCCACTATGTGATCATATTCTTGAGAAATTTTCAGATAGTCGCATGAATACGAATGGATTACTTTTTATTTTCTCCAGAGAATATCACGCGGTCTGTAATGGCTAAACAAAGACCAAACGAAAAAGGTCGATAAATTGTAAGCAATAAGCTTGTTAAGATGATTTCTGCACATTCCAGCAATACTGGCAAAAATTAAGTTACCAAAAAAACCTCTTAGCATGGTAATATTTTGAATAAAGGTAAGAAGATCGTATCGAAATTTTAGCTCTCAAGCTGACCCCGCAAGAGAAAATTGAACTTGAAGTTCTACATGTTTCAGTTAAAATGGAGGTTTCCTGTAAGTTGAAAACACAATAACACTCGCTTAAAGAATTCTTATGAGGTTTGATATTAAATTTCTCGAGAATGCATGGGGATTTCATCGCGGGGTCACCTAGAGAAATGAATTACAGTGAGATGTTTTATATAGTATTCAAAAAGTTACTGTGCTTTGAGTAGATTTTTAGTACATAATTTTTGCATTTATTATTGCTCGAACTTTCAGGGGAATCTTTCTTAATTTGTTCAACGTCCCCTTTGGCTTCTTAAAACAGTAAAAATGCCTAACAATGGGGGCTTGTAATTGGAAAATGTTAATTATCTCTTTAAACACGTATGATGCACGATCTTTGCTGTAGATGGCGCTATTTAAGCAATAGCGAAAATCAGACCTGAAAAAAATCAGGCCTGCTTTCAGGTTTTCAGGTCTGATTTTCGCTTTTGCTTAAATAGCACTATCTACTGCGAGGATTGTGCATCATACGTATCTAATACCGCAGTTCAAAATATATGAACTTCATATATTTCATTGTATCTCTTTAAAGCTAGAATGTCAACAAGAACAACAACAACGACATTTATTTATACCACAAAGAAATAAGATAAGAAACAAAGAAACTATATATTCAGCGCCTGCTTCTAAGCTTTTTTGTGTTACGTGGGTAAACAAATTACATCTTCATTTTATTTTTTTTCTTCAAATTCGGTGTTTTGGTGTTCCGTGGTTTTCCAGTGTTCCGTGGTGTCGTGGTGTTCTGGTGTTCCGTGATGTCCTGTGGTGTTCCGGTGTTCGGTGTTCCTTGTTTTAGTACATGCCGTTTGGGATGAATAAATACGGGTAAATTTTTCAAAGACCATCAAATTGGCAGAAGTCTTTAGGGCGAGTGCAGTGGATGGTCTCTTAATGTTACTCATAAAAAGAAAATTGCGAGATAGCCTCTGCGGAAACAGCAAGCGTGAGTCACTTGCAAATATAATTGATTCAAAGCCTGCAAAAATCATTTCGCTTTTAAGGAAAACAACACATTTCTCAGCGTTTTATAAGTTTTTTGAACGGCTTAAAACCAGCTAAACAGTTTAAGGAATTGTTCAACCAGTGTCTAAGCTGCCTCATTGTTTTGATGAAAGATTCTGGGCTTTAACCACCGAGTTTCTCGCTCTCAGCTTGAGAATTTCTTCCTCCTCTTCCGATACTTGTCGAGCTTCATTTGGGCGCTCTCCACGGCCACCAGCCAAACGAAGCCGGTTAGCTTGCGAACTGAACTATCTGTCCCGCACTATGGAACAGCTAATGCTTTTGTTGTTCAAGTGCCCGTCAAGTGATGCCTTCATTACTTTGAGAATTTTTGGTTCATAATTTTTGGCTCGCAGTTTTCGATTTCGTCGGAAATTCTCCAACCAGAAAGCAGTGTTGTTTTTGGAGTTGTTTGTCAGATCCTTTAATGGTTTTCGATTGCAAAAGAAGACCTTTAAAACTCCAGCCATCGCTTTTCGCCCGCAGCTTCACTCCATTCAGAGGTTGTGCTTGATTGGCCCTTTGTCAGTGTAACTGTAATCAGTATGCTCTGTTTTTTCCCCTATTTTTGCTCTGAATTACCCATCCTCCACTACATTTCCTCATTTCTTCATCGTGTGCGCTGAAATTGCGTTTCCCTTGGCCAATTAGAATGTAAGAATTTTTTCATGTACATCATTAGATTCGAAATAATTCACTATATTCAAAGAACAAGCACGCGCAAGATATCAGACCAAAATTGTTCGTAATAAAATGAATGTAATAAATAGATCGTGTTATCGTCTGGAGATGAATAACAAGCTCCGTTATAATCTCCTTTACTCCGATCTGAGTAAAAGCTTCTTCGTCATCATTTACCAACGTTGCTGCTACGTGATAACATTTTGGTGCACTTTCTACAGCTGTAATTCAAATAAAACTCTGCAGCACTGAGTTCGCAGTGCGTTAAATGCAAGGTTCGAGCTGATTTGTTGCGTAATTCTAATTTTGAGAAGAACACGTTTAATGAGCCATCAACCGCTTGGATTTCACAAAAGAGGAAGATTCTAGATTCTTTATCATGATAAAATTAGGAAGCCACAATTATGTATTGTCGTCCTGTATGTCACTTTAGTTGAAGTGATGACACTCTTTAAAGTCGAAATAAAACGGTAAATGAGTCTCTCGGGTTTTAGTCCTCTTCACTCGAACCGTTTCCTCCATGTTCTCTTTACGAGAGAAATAGCTCAGACACGACTTTTTTTATTTCTAAAATAATACCGCTTTAAATTTTCTGTTTTTACCAGTGATAAATCTGACTTACAGTGGCCAGGTTTCACTCGCTTTTTAGTCGTTTTTACTATTTGTAAAATTCAATAAGTTTGCCAGACTAACAGATCATTTGGGTTTTGCAGAGGTTTATATTTATGGGCAGGACTTGCCCAATGTTTCACCGAGGAATGACTCTACCAGCTTCGAAAAGAACGTTACCGTCCTCAAACATGAAGACGTGATAGAAACTAATGGTATGTTATTATCACCAAACAACATTGAGTTGGCGCAAATAAAGAAGAAGGAGGGACGCTACAAATCACGTGTTCAATTTAACAAAGATATGGATGAAATTGCTGTAAGAGAGAGACTCAAGAATGACGTACCCATTTTAAAAGACGAAAGGTAGTTATTCAATGATAGAGAAATTTAATTAATGTCATAATTTGTAAGAGGTTTCATTGAATTGGGGGCGTTTAAAGAGAAAGAGTTTAGTATTCCTGCGTTAAAAACAACGAACAATTGCAAAATTATGTAATTGATAGATAGCGAAGGTCATTGTTATTTGATTCACCGTTTCATTTGTACACAATTGTCTTAAAGGTTTTGTTGTGCAGCAAGGAAAAATCAGGGTACAGCAGAACTTGACCTCGTTGGCAATCCCCGTGTTTGGGACGGTAAGACCATTAAAAAAAGACTACCAGGCAGCTCGGCCCTGTTCATACTCATTGAAGAAGATGAGGTAACAGAGCAATTTATTTGTGCCTTTTCGTATATGATGATTTAATCAAGATATATTAAAAATCAGATGCAACGAAATTTGGTCATACAATTGTTGTAGAAAGTTATTCAATGATACACTGAGAAGACTGTCCAGTTCTTTGATCATTCTCAACCGTCAATCTCAATATTTTATCGTTCGTAATGTGTGTTAGGGGGTGCTATCTTGTTATAACTTCAAATTATTTCATTTATTTTAGGAGTAAAATGTATGTAGTCAGAATAGGCATATGTCAATCTTAGATTTGAAGTTGGAGTTTCAAAGCGCAGAGAATGAAATGTACGATGGCTCTTTACATCTCAAAATAATTCCGACGAAGTGATAGAATACCTCATGAATCTCAGTTTTTATTCATAGATGTTTTTTGAAAAGGTCTCAATCACAAGAGTGCTATGACTCGAATCGAGTCTCAACGTCCAATCACAATCGATACGAGAGAAATAATTCTTGCAAATCAAATCTCCAGGAACACGACTATTACATTTCAAGGCATTGACTCAAACGGCTGGGCGTCACATCCCTAGACAAATTATTGCCCTTTTTTATGAGTAGGAGTTGATCCCATCACGGCTCCATGCAGGTGGAATTGGTTCCTTTTCCTATCTTAGTAAACACCACTTTAAGGTGTCATCATGAACTATTTTTGACACTTTTTGTTGAAACAAGTGGTGTTTTTGGAATGAAAACTCTTACAGAGAATGCCCTAATCACATATTGACAACTCTTTAGTTTATGGAGACATACTATTGGTTAATTAAAGCTCTTAATACGAAGCTTAACTTTCTCTTTTTTTGCCTCTAATTTGCAGGAAGATTTCAATGGTTTTCATGACACCGAAGGTAGATCTGCTTCTAAATGATATTCTTTAAGGTTTGATGATTTGTAGTACTTAGCATTCTACAACGATTTACTGTCCGATGGACACGAATTTTATCGATGTATCATGTAGGTGAACTTTTACCTTACTTAAAAGTAAGGTAGAATTTTATAGATGGACATCTCATATTTTTTCAGTTCAAGACTTTGACCTTGACAAGTTTGTGGATGACAGACTCTCTGAAGAACAGACTGGGAAAAATGAAAAGGTACTTAAACTTTTATCATCGACCGATGATAATCGAGGACAAAGTAAGGTGGGTTGTTCAAA